TGCCGGGCAAGGGCTCGGAAAGGAATGGGAGCCGTGGGGATGGTGCTGCGGGTGACAGCGTGTTCGCGGTGTCGCTCGTTTCCTTGTTTTTCAGGATTTTGAGATGTTCTGCCAAGCAACTGGAAACAAGTCTCCAGGTTCCTGAAGATGTCTTCACTCGACAAACCTAGGAGGAGGAATTGCTGTGTATAGACCGATTTTGATACTTCATGAATGCAACAGACATAATACATCTGTTTTGCATCCTCGGAACACTGGGGGTACTCGGTACTTACTCTGACACCCTGCTCACCTCCTGTAGTAAGACAGCGATTTCTACTTCATCGCCTTGAGCTGACTTCTAGAATCCTTTTGCATTTCCAAAAGTGTACCAAAAATGGTTAATAATAAACTTTTCCATCTAAAGCATTCTCCCAAGATCACACGATTTAGACAAATCACAGAACGCTTCTGATGGAAACTCACTAAAAGACAATTACTTCGTAATTATTTATTTGTAAGGGGGGGTTATTTTGTGTTGGTAGCGCTGCCTGATCTGTTCAGACGGGCTTCACTGATCATCTTTTTTCTATGCCAAGTGTAATCCATTTCCACAACCACCACAGGTGCTGTCATGAGCTCTGTGAGAAAGGGAAAACAAAAAAGGAATGTGGCAGAGATGCAATGCCAGTACTCAGATACGGAACAGGCTCTGTGGATACGAGCGATAAGTAACCACCTTCATTTTCCCCTTACACCTTGAACCAGCTGTGTGTCAGGCTGGGGGTGAGGTGAGGAAACGTGAACCCAAAACGCCTCTCTCTTGGCAGGATCACACACGCTTTCCTGCTGTTGTATTTACATCACACAAAAAACCTCAAAAAGCTAGGCTGGCAAGAGAGGAAAACACTGAGTCAGGAAACCTTCATGGCTTGTTCCCAGGTAATGAGTTGTCTCATTAGTTTCTTTTTAAATTGGCTATTAAAATTCTCTTAATGGGGAAAACACAGGAGAGATGAGGTCTGATAAAGTTCTTAACACAGGTTACTCATCAGTCTGAATCTATTACGTTAATGGATTGAAATTAGTCCTTTGAAAAAAATACTGTGTTGTTCTTGGCAAGTCTTATTTCTCATATTTCTCAATTTGTGGGCCTGAGTGCACAGGACTAGCTAATGCCTTTTTCTCATGTTAAAAAAAACCACCAACTTTGTGAAGTTAACCTGAGCTGACTCTGAACGAGGTCTGTTCAATAAGGGGCTGGCAGGCACCCATCTCGGCTATGCACAGCTCAAATTTGTACTGCAAGACATTTCTGGTGTTTGAAACATGTGCAACGCGAGCTGAATGATATAATCAGACTTTACAGAATTTTCTGTGACGTACAGATTAAGAACATTAAAAAAGAAATGAATAAAATCCCGCACTAATTGGTAGAAAAGTTTATTATTACAGTGCACACCATTGTAACCTGAAACAGCAAGTTAAGTAAACGTGTAAGCACACATGCAGTTTGTTTTTTAAACATTTTAAAAACCAAGTTGTATCGAGCTTTACATTAATGAATAACAATTTGGGGTTTTAAGACTTTTTATAAATGGACGAGAAAATCAGATTTTGCTGGGTTCAGACAGAAAAAAGTTGATCCTATAAGTGACAAGCACACAGCCTTCTCCCAGACCGCTCCTTAAAGAATTGTTACTGGTTTCCTTTAGCACACGTGAGTTGAAGTCTGGGATTTGGGCAAATCCTGGTGCAGTTTAGGGGCTGAGAATGCATCTTCTGTCGCTCTACAGAAGATCTTCGAGGTGGTGCAAAACTTGGGCATGCAAAGCTTAAAAGAATGTACCTGCTGGATCTACCAGGAGAATAGAGAAAGTAAAAGTGAGGAGTTTTAGTTTAAAAATTTATCCTACGCCACCCTCTGGCAACACAAATATTAAATGACATAGTTCCCCTCCTGTGAGCAGCATAAAGCTAATTAATTGCACATTGTGAAAAAAACAACTGGGAGTGTTGGCAAGCTCTGCAGGCACGGGGTGAAGCTGGTCTGCCCTGTCCACTTCCCGTTTGTAACCACCTTGGGGAAAGACTGGGAAAGCAGGTTCATTAGGGAGCGGACTCAGCACGCTCCTAAAACCCCCCAAACCTCCAAAGACTATTTTGTGTAGGTGTATCCTGAGTAATTAAAACTCATTAGCTGCAAGAGGTGAGAGATCCAACCATCAGACTTGACGTGCAGCAGCAGTGTTACGTTCACTCTGTTGTACAGATCCTGTACTTCTGCAATCAAGCAGTATTTCCCCGTGGAAACTCCTCTTTCAGCTCACGGGACAGCTTCAAACCGTGCAGAAAACATGCAAACAAGTCAATGGGGTGAGAAAGCATTCTAAACCAACTTTATTGGAATGATACAGGAATGGTTAATGTACAGGTTAAATCCTCAATGCCTGCCTTCTACATAGGAAAAAAAAAAAAAAGAAAGAAAGAAATGAGCAAATTCAGCTCTTGCGCCCATCATTCACCCGACACAAGTGTGGGAACCACAACAACAGCACAGAGGCAACGCGTTTCCAGCACTCCTGAACTCCTGCAAGATGTGCATCACAAGGAACACCAGTTCTCCACGCAGTCCCACGACAAAGAGATATTTTTGGTATTTTGCCATTTGTGTCGGTGCCTTGTTCCCCGGACAAAGGCATAATTCAGTGTGCCTCAACAGAGCTTTCCTAGGAATGCTGACAGAGTTTGAACGCTACCATATGGCACGGGTGGGGGACCGGACGGGGGAAGTGGCTTTGCTTTCTTAAACTTGGCAGTTTTCTTGACCATCAGAAACAGACTGACCTCGTTTCAGCATGTTTTGGGTCACTGAACTGGCAGAATTTGGTAGTGACTTTTGATTACGGCCTCTCCAAAATAATGACTGCAATTCACAAAACTTACACCACACTTTCCTTACACAGGACACGCAGCAAACTGGCATGAGAATAGTGACTTGTGTGTCAAATTCCACTTTCTTCACAAGGCTTCACCCAGTATGCTGACATACTTTCTCCAAAACTTGACCACTAGTTTAGACATAAGGATGATGCCAATGTTAAGAAAGAAAAATCACCCCAGTTCAGAAAGAGGAAATCCTAGTGAACAACAAAAAATCGGGCACCGGATTTAAAATGTAACCTAACTTCCATCCCCAAAAGATCTTAAAAATCAATTTCACCAAAGTTGAGTAATTACCAATAAAGCTCGTTAATGAAAAAGCACAGATGCGTGTGTTAATCCTGAAGGTAAGGCAACATTCATCTACCCCTGTGCCTTTTGGTACTTGAGGACAAGCCTCACGCCGACTCCCAGGCTCTCAGACCAGAAAAGACAGAACATGAATTAAATGTCATTTTAACGAACCTGGCTCCACGCTAGATCCTGCCCGCTCAGACGGCTGTGGAAGTTGTCATGAGCTCTCCAGAAGCCCCAGAGAAACGTTAGTGAGGGAAGTATTTAATTCCTGCACTTTGGAACATCTAAAAGTGTTCACTTTTATCCTGTTCCCAATTTCAGACTTCAAACCATGAACTGCAAGGCCGTTCAGAAAGCATTTGGAAAGCACTGCGCCCATTTTACAGCCTCAGTGTACGGGCACCCGCGGCACTGCCAAGCTGATCTGCACCCCTGTTCCTCTGCCTTCATGTAGCACAGAAAACCAAAACGTGTGTGCAGAGCCAGTAGAATGATCGTCTACAGCAAGGACTAACCCTCCTTTTGGGGAATAAGTACATCCCGTGGTGCAAAACGCGTTTTAAATTACCCACATGCTTTTTCGACCTGTTTCTTACCCTTCGGGGCACTTGTCACTATTGGTGTTTTTGCAGAATATGGCCTAGAAATACAGACTGTCTCATGAGCACTGGGAGAACAGACAGGTTAATATTGCACATGGTAAATTCACCAAGACAAGACACTTTCATAGATTTGCAATGCCTGTAATAGCTTCATGATATGGCAATAACAATGGCAAAAAAAGTTTTTAAACCTTAAAAAAAAAAAGTTTTGCTTAATTACAATAGTTCTTCCTGTTCAAACATTTATGTCCTCATTTGAAAAAATACTATATGAATCTAATGACTACTCGAACATGCAATATGATGCCTAATGCCACAAGCAGTGTGAACTGGAATTTTTTTAGAGAAATCCATTAAAGGCTTTCACCCTTACACAGGTAAGGAAATGCCATTTCTGGCCGGTTTGGCTTATTTGCAACATTGCCTGGGGACTGGCGTCTACTGCACTGAATCCTGCACACAGCTCTGTAATCGAGTCATGCTTAGGCAGCTGTGTGATGAACTTGCCAATGGAAAGGCTGTTCATGGCCCAAAATCCCTTTTTCTTTGTCAAAAGAGCCCCCACGGATCACTTAAATGAGAAATACATGACATTATTTTGTTTTTTTTATCATCTGTACAGTGTGTTACAACACAAATCTTAAATATCCATTCTACAAAAGAACAAACATAGCTTTCAAAAGTTACTACGATGGCTACACTACACGATACCACCTACAATGTCATCAGAAAGCAGAAAAGACACTGAAAAATCACTGTGTAATTCAGTAACGTTTTTGAGGTGACTCAGGCACTACAGTTAGTATCTGACAAGGTTCAGACACTGTTGCTTGTTTTCCATATTTTAAGCAGCTGGATCTCTAGGTATAACCCCATCTGGATGTATTGTTAGTACTAAAATAGTTTCTTGAAGTTTACACAAAACGGACGAATTGCCAGAACAGTTTAAACTATGTGAAAATCATTCAAGTCTAATTGCTTCGGTCTCCCATGATTCCAGCTGTGTAATAACACACTCCGTGCTCTCTACCTTTTTGTTCACATTTTCCTCGTGGGTTCAGATTTGGATTATGTACGGTGAATGCTGCAAGCACCAATCAAACGTTAGAAATCACATCTACATTTCTTGAAGCAGAGACAATTGTACTATTTTATAAAAAGCTGTGGAAATTCCCTTTACAGAACATTTAAGGCAGTTGAGATTCATGCTTGCTGCTTTGCCAGTGCTTCAGCTTCCTGCAAGAGCAAAGAGAATGGCACGTGTTAGGAGTTTTTGAAAGGTGACAATGTGCACACGACATCACAAAAACCGTACGCGATTAAGAAGTGAGCAGCACTGGACCCAACTCAAGAAGAGTCCCCGCTGCCCACGAGGACATTACAAAACAAGTCCCACGCGGTGCTGGCTTTAACTCCAATTCTGAGCCAGCTCAAGCAGGACCCGCAGGAACATTCCGAACTGTGCCCACGGCCGGTTTTGACCACAAGAGTTTAAAAGAAGATCAGATACAACGAGTTATCCCTCATTTCATGTTAGCACACAAGAACTACTTAGAGATCTGAGATTATTTGAAGAACTATGGTTAAATGGAAAAGGAATTTAAAAACAAAAGAAAAGGAGGTCTGGGCAGAGATGCAATTTACTTTGGGAACTAAACCCCACCAAAGCCCAAAGCCAGCATTTAGCTTTTCCCTTTCAGAAGGGTGGCCGGAGCAGCCTGCGAGTCCCTAGTCAGACGCAGCTCGGAGCTGCTCCAGCACAAGACCCGTACGTGAGCTCCGTCCTGGGGCTGGCAGCAGGTCCGTCCTGGCACTGGCACTGCCCAGTAATCCCCGCTCCCGCTGCGGGGGGAAGCGAGCCAGCGGGCACGTGCTCCCTGGGAACCACTCCTGCCCACCACCTGCTCTCCATGCCCAGGGCTCCCATCCCACACCTCTTCGAGGGACCTTCGGCTACATGAAGACACTCCTGTGAAGCTTGGGAGATGAAGGAACAGCTACAGCCGTTCAGCAGACACCAGGTAACCTCTAATAGTTCTCAGCACGCTTCAGAAGGAACATTAAAACCCACGGCCTGCGTTTTTCAGTCCTCTTTCAGCCTCTGTAAGGTGCTCACAAATGGCAACAGAACGACACCAGAAGAAACCCAAAAGGAATCTTTTTCTGATATGGTTTCTACAAGTGTACTTTTGACTGAAGATTCATTTAATCACCTGTTAGCAGCAACAGGACCTACAAGAAGATGAACAGCATCACAGTGCTCTCGCCGCAGCACTTCGGGGTAGACAGTGTGGGTTATTTTAAGGGAAAAAGTTTGACATCTGCTCAACTCCACTTTTATGTAATGGATTTGTTTGCTTTGGTGACGACATAGAAATACTGAAGATAACAGACTCAACAATATTCTTGTTAACATGAGCCAGTATGCTAAACAAATAAAAACCAAGAGGAGGAAGGACTAAGAAGGGAATTTCCGAGAAGCCCATTAAGACTTGGGAGAGCAGGGACACAGTGGGTGACCCCAGCCCACAGGGCAGGAAGTACCACGCATATCTCCGCTCTCTCAGACGCGGTGGATCCCTCTGGTTTTCCTGGCTAAGTGCCCACGTCGCATCATGCTGCTGTTTAACCCAGGGGCGTGGGAACAGCCTGGCTGGGACGGCGGGCTCAGGCCTGCCGCGCTCCCGGGCGGCACTCCGCTCCTCCGGCCGCACGGCGCGGTCCCCGAGCGGAGCCGGGACATCCCTGCGCCGCCGTGCCGCTCGGGAAGGGCATCCCAGCAGTGCGTGGCAGAGAAGGCAGGTGAAAAATGAAGGAAAGATTGAAAAGAGCTACGAAGCCTGTTAAAAAAAAAAAATTAAAAAAGGATGTTTGATATTCTCTAAAAGACAAGTGGTTCTTTGAATGGTAACACGGAGGAGATGGTTCCTTTGGCTTTGGAACAACTCCATTAACCAGTCGTGGGTACTACAGAAGTGACATCTAGCCCTTTTTTTTTTTTTCCCCCCAGAAAATGGAGGATAAACTACTTATCTTCAAAACAGGCAGTGGTAAGCTGGAGAGGATTCCTGGTATTTCCCTCATCCCCAGGAAAATGGGTACAAGTAACTCAAAGAACCTGTTTGTCTTGAAGGTCAAACTCCACTTCCTTGGGCGTGATCCTGCGAGTTACCTGGGAAAGGCTCAGCTTCTCAGATTTGACACTATCCCTCTTTCAAACCTTTCCTTATTTCTCCCTCAAGGCCCCTCGCTGAGCGTGCTCTCAGCCCTTAAATAATAAATCACAGCCTTTAATTCCTCAAATCTTCCCCCTTTTAAAACCCATATTGCCTGAAGTTGCTTAAGATAAGCCGAATGCCAGCCTTTCCCAGGGTTTGTAGGTCCGTTTGTACTTTGTGCCCAAAGCACAAACCAAAGCACCAGGCTCAGTAAAGAGCCACTTGCATTTCCCACGCTCACTTCTGAGCCCTTCTCGTTCAGCATTAATGTTGGAACTTTGTGTTCAAACAACTTTCCCAATCTCTCATGATTCATCTAATGGAGGTTTGCTGTCAAGGTCCTCTCTTGCAGTGGCACACAGGTCGATCCCAGGCTCCTGCCATTTTATGCAGCGACACAGTGTAATTAACTACAATATCACATCTGAGCTGCACGCAGCCATGCTGTAAATGCCAATTTCAGCATCTACAGATGAGTCTCTCCCCTCAGCAGCAGGCGATCAGCTTGATTTGACACCACAGAATTGTGGGCTGGATACCAAAAGTCAGGCCAGCAGCAGAATGCTCTGGGTACAAGGTCACTTACGCAAAGGTTATCTTCACCGGCTCAAAGGCACCTCCCCACGCTGCAGCAGGCAATATGACAGTTCAGCAGAGCATGAGGCATTGTGTTCCTGCCTTTTAAAACTCACCTTTTCCTTTAAAGCCACCCCTTAGGACAGAATTGGAGCACCTAATAGCCAGGCAGACTGCTTCTGCAGCCCAGCAGGTTAGGTAAGCAGCGATGTTCACAAACGTTGTAGAGACAGATGACCTGATTCCTTCCGGCAGCAACTGCTCTCCAGCACCACTGCACTCCCCAGACCCCAGCTGGGAGGGGAAACACACGGGCGTTCCTGCATCCCCTGGTTTCAGGGCTGCTTTCTCACTCCTCGGCTCCACCCTGCCCACTCCTTTGTGCAGCACTGTGCAGATGTTCCAAGAAACTTAAATAAGATCTACACCACTGTGTGCAGCTGGCCTTCTGGTGCCAGCAACGCACCATGCTGGGGCATGTACCACACGTTCTGTTCTCCGCAACTCTCTGGACGAGGGAGAGTTTTTCCCCACTACACCATTCACACCAGTGAACGTGTTTCTGCTGCTAGAAATCAGTTTGGCTCCAAAACTGTTTCAGTCTGACCCACAACTTGTAATGGTTAATACTCATGGATCATCGTCTACCTTTAAAATTAGGTCTCTTAGTGATGTGAACAGCATGACCTTCAACTCTCTCATGAATAAAGCTGAAAGGAAACGGCGTGTTTATTCACTGGAACAAGAAAGCTGGAAGTGACCTGGAGGATCCTGCTGCTGTCAAGTGAAACGTATAAAGCGGGCTTGTCCTGTCCTATCAAAATCAAAAGGAGAATTCCAGCCCACTGCGTCCGCAAAGCGGCAACCCAGTTTGTAACTGGCAAAGGAAAACAAGGCTTCAGATAACGAGCTGGAGGAAAAAACTACTCTGAAGCAAGACCGTATTATTTCAGAAACAGTAACTCTGGTTTCAAGGTATTTTCTAGTAAAAAAATCGCGTCAAAACTTCACATGAATTAAGTTTTTTTCATTGAATTGGAATAATTCTTTGGTTTTGGGACAATTCTTTTCATCTAGGTTTCTTGTGCATTCTTCAGTGCAAATATTAACTACTCTCTCATTTGTTCCCAGAGTGCACAATAAACAAAACAAAGAAACCCAATGGTAAGGGACAATTATCACTAGTGAAGAACTTGACTCAGCTCTTCCCTTCCAAAGCAACAAAAGCTTTTCCATTAACTTCAAAACGAGCAGAGTGGCTCTGCAGTGAGGATACCAAAAGAGCATCTGTACCGAATACAGAGTTCTTCTGGTAGAAGGAGGGGGAGGAAGATGGCTCTGGGGAACACAGCATCCTCCCAATAAACCAGCACAGAACGACAGCGCGTTGCTGTGATGTTCAAGCCTGAAAGTCTCTGGAGACTGAGCATCAGACCAGCAGGTAGATTGACTGGGGCAACCACAGAACACGTAAAAGATCCTACTATGAGCAGAGAAGAACAAGGTGTAAAAGACAGGTTGTGGTTTACTGGGAGAAATGTACACCCCTACCTTTGAACCAGGTGGCGCAGTCAAGCCTAAAAACGCGTACACCGCGTTGTTCTCCCGAGCTTCAAAGAAAGCTTCGTAGTCCTTCACCGTGGCAGCCGGGCGGGGGGGAAACAAAAGACAGAAGTAGGAATTGTCAGAGATAATGGCAGCTCTGTTTGGTGTGTTACCCAACCCACGCCGAGCAACCTGCTTCCTGCGGCTGAATGCAACATTCAAGGCATCACCTCGGATATTCACCATCAGCACCGACACCGTGGAAATGTACAGTCTGAAAAGGGACAAGCTGGGAATTTCACTATCGTAGCAACAAGCTGCTGCTGTGAGGTGCTTCTGCCTTTCCATAGGGACAGCCTCCCCAGCAAGGTAGTTGTCACTAGTCTGGCATGGATGTCCCTCCTGCAGGAGAGGGCTAAGCCCATACTTTGTCATCAGAAACAATGATGTTCCTCAGCTGTCATTGCTAATGACAATTAGTAACGGCAACTGTGCAACCATGGACATTAACTCTTAAACCTGTTAGAAGTTAAATTTAAATATGTTAACTGAGAGTACATCTCTTCCCATCATGCTTTTTGTTAGTGATTAGTCCATGCAAACACAGGAAATCAGGGGGGACCGTTCACTGTACTCAGTGCACTATGGATGTGCTAAATACGCACACAGCCGCCTCCCGAGAAAATTAAGGTAAAAACAAAGAAACAACTACAGAAACACCCATGCTTCCTTCTCTGCCCGTTTTATGTTTGAGGCAGAAGGCAGTGCTGTACAGAGTACAAACGACACAGCTTCGTTGTCTGCAAAGTCAGGAAACAACAAGCCAAAAGCCCACGGTGTGGCTCAGCGACAGCAGTTCCAAACGAGCGCGGAAGGTCTGTGCAAGCCCCCCCCGTCCGAGTTACCGCACGCTTCCCTCACTCCCATTTCCTCCTACGACTTTCCTTCTCCTCTTTTCAACTGAAGCAACAGTCCCAGTTTCCTCCAGCTCTCCTGGGGAACGTTCTGGTGCAGGAGTGGTGGCTGAGAAAGCCCAGGCGAGGCTGCAGCAGGGACAGAGCTGCCATTAAGGGCGCGCTGCCTCGTGTGCTGGTCTGCCTGGGAGGCAAAAGCCTAAGAAATAGCTGGAAATCAGCAGCATGTTTGGAGCAGGGCAGCTCTCAGAAGAGGCTGATGCTGCTGGAATAGAAGAAAGGGCAGGGAACAGAGGATTCCAGCTGCCTAGAGATCAGGGATGTCAAGTTATTGTTCCATTTGTACATGTAGCATTCGGGTGCCAGTTTGATGAAAATGTGTGTGATTATGTGAAATCCTCCCTGAAGCTCTTCCGTTGACAGTGCCGGGGCTGCTCGATAACAAAGGGGTTGTTTATCTTGCTAGTGCATAGTCCGGCAGCCGGCTTCGTAGCATCTACCAGGAAAGGAATGCCAGTGACTAAGGAGCAGGGTTCGTGCCAGTTCATGCCAGTTCCAGCCTTTCTGCTATGCACAGGCCAACAAAAGTCAATTTGCTCATTCCCCTGCCAGTTACACTGCATCAGACGACACAAACAGGGAAGTTCATGCTTGAGATGGATCAGATAAAGACATAAAGAGGTTCAGGCGTGTGGGCACAGAATTAACTTTTACCCTCCTAAAAGCTGAACTGTAGTAACTTGAACCCAGCTACACAACTTGACCAAACCTCAGAAGTTCACTCAGAGGGTGGTGAGGCACTGGAACAGGTTGTCCAGAGAAGCTGTGGCTGCCCCATCCCTGGAAGTGTTCAAGGCCAGGTTGGATGAGGCTTTGAGCAACCTGGTGTAGTGGAGGGTGTCCCTGCCCATGGCAGAGGGATTGGAACTGGATGATCTTTGAGGTCCCTTCCAACCCAAACCATTATGTGAGTCTATGATTCTATGATTCTAAGTTCGAAGTGCCATCAGCCAAAATTTTGGGGATTAAATAAACGTATAGCAAGAATTGGTCTGAAGCATATACCCCTTTCCCCAAAATTACGGTATTCAGAACTGTTGTGGGTTGCACCTGAGGATACGTTAGAAGCATCCCTGATAAGCAAGCACCCAGATCTAGGTGCATCCAGCTTTTTCTCTTCCTGTCCCACATCACTGCATAGGAAAGCCCCGTTCTGCTGCACAGCGGCAGCAATGCAGCACAAATTTGGCAACATTTCACTGATAAGGGACAACTGCAGAGCGATCTGGTGGCAGCCCTACAGCTGCAGGACACCAGGAGAGAAAGGTGATACTGTTGCAACTGGACTTCCTACTGCTATAGAAATATTTACCTCTTTTTTGTTTGTTTTTAAAGAGTAACTGAACAGAGATTTTCAGCTCTTTGTGAGTAGCCCCTTCTCAGCTTTCAGCTGCAGACAACTATGGATCATTACCTTTGCCACTCCAAACTAATTTTTTTCCATGTTACTACCACAGTCAGTAGAATTTTGAGAGCCAAGTGGTACACTAGCTCACTGTGGATAGTTTCAAGCTCTGCTTTTCTTACAAGGAAGAAAAATTCCTGGTGCATTGAGAATAATTTCTTTCAGTGGCCACAGAATCACCTCACAAAGGTCCAGAAATGGCAGGTTCTGACTTACAGACCTTGCAGGTCAGAATCAGACTGCAAAAACGATTTGGAAACCATCACACAGCACCAGAGGAATGCACATTGTGAGCTCTTCTCAGAAGATATTAAGTTTTAAAAATAAAATTAACAGTTAATCTAATAATCATTCAAGCATGGCCTGCTGAGTACAAGTGCTGCAGGGCAACTTACTTTTGATCAAGCATTAAAATAATTCCAAGCAGGAATTGTATTTGCAACATGAGTTTTAATCTGGTCAAGGCATGGAGTAAGTGGACCGCAACAGCCTTCGTTTTGCAAGCGGTGCACAAAAACTGATGCCAGGAAGGATCAGAAAACCAGTGTGTGATCATGGCAGACATCACTCTGTCTCAGCAGTTATTTTGGAAGATTGCAGACTAGGGAGCGATCTGGGATCCACACATACTGGCAAACCCCACGTAGGCAGAACAGATCTCTGAACTTGCTACACAACATAGGGTTGGTGCAACAGTGCCAGATTTCTGTGAAGTGTTAGTTCACACTCATGGTGAAAACGAGAATTAAAAACCCCTGTAAACTTTCAGAGCCATAAAAGGGGAAAAAATCCACAGGGGGAAAAAAAAAATATATAAACACTGCAAGGTGGTGGTAGGCTCATTCCAGTAAGCAGCACAACGATGTGTGAATCAGGAGGTCCAAATTTTAATCTCTCCTCTATGGTGGAACTGGAATATTCGATGATCAATTATTATGCAAAGCCCAAGAGAAGGGGTAAACATCTAACACCTTCCACACCCATACAGCTGGCCGAATCCTCCTTTGCTGGTCACCACAGTGAAGCTCAGACCATGGCAGCAAGTAAGAGGACTGGGACAAGAAGACAGCGCTGTGCTGTCTGTGCTGGCAGCCCAGAAAGCCAACCGTGTCCTGGGCTGCACCCAGAGCAGCGTGGCCAGCAGGTCGTGGGAGGGGATTCTGCCCCTCTGCTCTGCTCTCGGGAGACCCCACCTGGAACGCTGTGTTCAGCTCTGGTGTCCCCAACACAAGAAGGACAGGGAGCTGCTGGAGTGGGTCCAGAGGAGGCCGTGAAGATGATCCCAGGGCTGGAGCACCTCTCCTACAAAGGCAGGCTGAGAGAGTTGGGGCTGTTCAGCCTGGAGAAGAGAAGGCTCCGGGGTGATCTTATTGCAGCTTTCCAGTACCTAAAGGGGCTACAGGAAAGCTGGAGGAGGGCTTTTGACAAGGGTGTGTAGTGACAGGACAAGGGGCAATGGATTTAAACTGAAAGAGGGGAGATTTAGATTGGATATAAGGAAGAAATTCTTCCCTCTGAGGGCGGTGAGGCACTGGCGCACAGGTTGCCCAGAGAAGTTGTGGCTGCCCCATCCCTGGAGGTGTTCAAGGCCAGGTTGGATGGGGCTTTGGGCAACCTGGTGTGGTGGAGGGTGTCCCTGCCCATGGCAGGGGGGCTGGAACTGGATGATCTTTAGGTCTCTTCCAACCCAAACCATTCTATGATTCTATGATTCTAAGACATGGAGACCCGGAGCCATTCCTTACCCCGAGGTACCGGCTGTCGTTGAAGAGCCGGGGCGGCAGGGGGTTCCCACTCGCTGGCCGGCTGTCTTCAGGGACGTTCTCGCGCATCCATTTCCGATTCTCCTCATTGGCGGCGATATCCTTTTCCTCAAATTCGATTTTGTTGGCTTCCAAGAAGCCTAACACATCTTGTTGCTGCTTTTTAATCTGTCCCAAAAGAGCAGGGGAGAGAGAAAGCAAACAAAATCAATCAGGTCATTTTTTCTGCGGCCGATTATGCAATTCCAGGGTTCAATGCAGAAACACGGGGGTGCAAAACAGGTTGAAAATGGAAGCGGTAAGAAAATTGTCAGAATAAAAAAGTATCCTCTGAAGAGTTGTATCTGAGCCTTGACTTGGCTCCTGTATAATCGAACAGGCTTAAGTCTAAAGGCACTGTCCCTCCACACGTGTGAATGCTGTGAACCTTGAAGGCCTCCAACCAAAAGCAGAGGTGCAAGCAGCCCCCTTGCAGGGACTGTGTTGGCCAGGCTTCCCGATTAACTCGGAGGAACGCTGTTTTTTCAGGTGCAGTGAAGTTCGCTGGAGGGAAATATGAGGTACAACCTCCTTCCTTCGTGCCCCTGGAAGCACAGGCTGAACGCACCCTTCTCAGAGCCCCGGTTTTTGTCCTCCTCACGTACGCCACGCACCTCGCCATGGGGACCTCCCTACAGAGGTCTCATCGAGTCATCGTTAACAGTGAGATCCCAAAGTAATTTTGGCTCCTGTTTCCTTGGACAAAAAAAAAACCCTCTTCTGCTACATTTCAGCAACGGCAGGTATGGTTTGTCAAGAGCTGCGACCTCACATCCCCATCCTTGGTCGTCTCAAAGAGACATCCCGGGGGCTGGCTGCACAGGCTGGATGAGATCCCACACCTGATGCAGCCCGGCCCCTGCACGCTCCCACAGCACTCACGGGAAAAGTAGCATCTCTGTGGCAAACTCTGCTGGCTTTTTACTGGAAAGGTGGTTTTTATTGCTGTCATATATGAATTGTTGACTTCTTGATACAGAGATGTTCTACTTATGCTCTGTTCTTCCTCTGCATGACTTTACCACCACAAAGGAAATTATAACCACGTGCATCCTGGCAAACAATAAAAAATGGGATCTAACGGCAAGTTTGTTCCCTTCAAATCATTCCCTTCACTCCAAAAGCAGTCCAAGGCCTGGCTTTAACCCAGCCAGCTCAGTGCACCCAAAGCAGCGCTGCGTACAGATGTTGCAGAGCTGCTAATTCAGGTCAGCCAGCAGCTTCCCGGAGCAGCCTCTCCATATACGGCGAGGGAAAAGCCGGCAGCTCCCGGCGCGGGGGCGGCCGAGAGCCAAATATGGAGCCCGCGCCCCCGGCTCGCACGGCCCCGCGCCCACGGGCACGGAGCCAGGCCGGGAGCTGCAGGGAGGCTGCGAGGTTCCAGAAGGGAGCGGTTGGGAGAGCAGCATCCGGCGTCTCCAAAGAGGAGGCTGCTGTGCATCCAGTGCAAGCATCCATCGGCACGCTCTAGCAGCTCCATCGGAGCCACGGCGGCTGGCTGTGCCACAACGCGAGATGTGGAACCAGCCCAGGCTGAAATAGACCTCGGGTGGGGTGGTTTGGTTTTAAAAAAACCGGGATCGATAGGTCTCCCTCTGCATCTAGCTCCCTGTAGCGCGAAGTGACCAACCCTGCTCTCCCGACGGAGGAAGCAGGAGCTTCCCCTGGAAGTGACCCTGCTGGAGCGGGTCCAGGGGAGGCCACGAAGATGATGCGAGGGCTGGAGCACCTCTGCTATGGAGACAGGCCGGGGGGGGTGGGGGGTGTCGCGCGGCGGGAG